AACAATTTTTCATTCACGATGATGAAGCTTCTTTTGAGATGAAAATCAACATATTGCAAGTTGAAGACTAAATAACATGTGTTAATGTTTATTGCTGTTTAAATGTTCTAACTGGTGTTTCTATTTAAATGATTGCTTGTAATTTAGTCAGACATTTATGAAAGATGAAATCAAGATCAGATTAATTTTTGGGTTTATGGGAGCAGCTAAAACACAGTTGTCAGCACTAAAATTATTATTTTTATGGGAATGAATTTTAAATTAGTCGGATTTTCTAGGATTAACTTTTGATAAATGACTAATTTTGGAAACTATTTTTTTTTGGCTTCAAATTAATTTGAAATTAATCATTCGAAAGCTTTACTTCATTATTCTCATTAGAGCGGAATTCAAATGTGTGAATTTGAATTTAATTTGAAAAATATATTTTAATAATTTCATAATAAATGGAACAATATTCAGAGATCGTAAATAGGGCGATTAACACAATGCATACATTAAATATGATGGATTCATATTGTAGTTAATGAACCAATAATAATAATTATTGAAATACAATTTTCATATTTAATTATCTGTGAATTTGCGTTTGTAAATTGAGTGCAATTTTGGAGTGTTTGTAGAATTTATTTATTTAATTTCTATTTGTGATTTGGGGATTAGTGAATTAAATAATAATTAATGAGGAGTATTTAGACTAGTATTTTTGAGAATTCACTCTGATTACAATATTCACAACAGTAAAAAAAATTCAAATTTCTGAACGCACTTATCACGTGTTTTTCACATTAAATAAAAAAACCATTAATTAAAGTATAAATGCACTGTTTTAAGACTTTTGACTGTTCGATCAGCCAATAACTCGATAGAACTGAGCTATTAAAACAAACCCGAGCTCTCTGCGATGTCTGGTTAAAAAGTTTTTCTTCACCCGAACGAGCAGCCGAACAAAGTGCATTATTAAGCTACGTTTTAGAAACAAATTTCAAAAATGCGCTAAAATCATTATGAATAATTTATAAATGGGGGGAGGGGGGTCCAATCAGTAAAGGTACCCGAATCAGTAAAGTTGATGAATATAACAATATCATCCACGTGTCCCCAAATCTATCTAATCAATAAAAATTCCAAAAACCAGCTAGAACCGCCTCAATCTGTGACTCACCTAAGACCTCATCATAGCAATAGAAATAAATAAAAAAATCTTTTAAATAATTATGACATGACCAAACTATTTTTTTATACAATTTTTGTTGATGGAATCAAATTTCGACAAAATAAGAAAAAAAAAGAGATGAAAAATCATACTCGATGGCAAATGTGGTGTTATGAGAGACATCAACGTAAATAATCATGCTATTCGCCGCAGGCGACACTCAAGTCAATGGGATGAAATCATGCACACTCATATTATACATTTCTCATAATAGCAATAATAATAACAATAATGACTCTATCAGCTTAATAGTAAATGATGTTTATGTCCCGCAACAACCGTGTCAAAATCGTATACATAAATTGCTGAGGTTAACGAAAAAAAAAGAAGCTTAAGACATAAAAATGTCTTTAAATATTTTATTGGGAATTTTTCGAACTGGAATTCAAGACAAAATCTTTTGGAATTTAGTGATAAAAATTCCATGCACGCATTGACTGTCCATCACATCTGATGGATGAAATTTCATATCAATTAATTAACAAATTGCTTAGGTCATTTGAGGATGCATATTTTATGAAAATTACAGCTATTTGATCTAATGAGCGTGTCTATCTATCTATTTCTTAATTAAATGAATTTATTAATTGTGAATGCATGGAAATTAGGTGTTTGGCAATTAATAATCTTGTTCCTCGCTGTCTTATCTTGAGCCTAAAGTGTCTAATTGAATGTTTTTCCCATATATTATTCTGTGTCCATTTAAAACGATGGCAGCTATTAATGCATAGCACACCGCATGCTGTGAGTCGGTAAAGAGTCGCTATTGTGCGTAGTTTTGTGTTCTGAGGGGTTGGAACTCGGTTTGGTTTGGTTTAATTTGGTTCTAAAATTCAAAGGTCCTTAAGAAAGTTCAAAACTATATATTGAAGTTCTAAACTTGATTGACTAAGTTCAAATTTAAATAAAAAATCCATAAATCCATAGCACCGACCCCTTCCATCTCCACCAACCCTCCAGTTGCGAGTTTATTTTGAATATTTCTTTTTTTAAATAATTTTTTTCCCATCTCTTTTGTGTGATGAATTTTTTACGCTTGTCGCTATTATTGTTATGCTGAGCCCGTTCGCTTCAAAATAAATAAATAAAAGATAAATCAAATTGGTAATGGAATGTTATTGGCTGAAAAATGTGGAAGTTTATAATGTTGTCATATTGAAATAAATTTTTATTTTTTTTTTCACAATTCTCATTTCATTTTATGTCCTGCATTTTTTAAGCGTTAAATGATCAGACACATCGCAAATATTTATAGCCAATTTCAATTTTAATTTTAAATACACGGAAAAAATGTTTTCGTCGGCATGGAATAAAGTTATGGCACAGTAAATTACAAAAATACAGCATTTAATTTTTGTCACTTCTATCTCCTTTCTGGTGTCTCTTTGAAGTATTGAATGCGGTTATGTAAATGTAATAGGAGAAATATTCATGGAACAACATTTAAATTTATCTCAATTCTTGATAATTATGCCGAGCGCATGCATGATTAAGTGCTGGATTATGCGATACAGAATTTAACTTTTAAAATAGTTGGGGAGTGCGATGGAAGTTTGGTTTGAGATTAATTGGAAAAGGGTCGATACATAAATTCAGTTTTAAAGAACTTCTCACCTGAGTATAGTAAAAAATCAACTGCTAAATGTTGGAACGTCATTTTCGAAATTCCCCAAACCTATTCAAAACATTTCCAATCAAGACTTTGACAAATCTACGTCAATTTCATTTGATTTGATTTTTTTAAATTTTCCTTCATTTTAAATTCTAAAAATTCAATAAATTACCTTATCTACATTACCGTCATCAAAATATTTACAATTCACATCAAAATCACCACAAACAAACAAATAAGCACAAAATAAAAAAATTTCCAGCCATCCAAACAGAACAAACACTTCACTAAAAGCTTTTGATAATTTTAAATCGATAGATAGAGATTTATGGAAATTTAATGGATCAAAATTTATATGATAAAAAGAGACTTTATAGTAGATTAGTATCGGATTAGCAATCATGAATGGATTAAAATTCAAGTTGTTGTCGGCTTTTTCGGTTCGAGTGTCATGGGAGAAATATTTTTTTTGTGGCTGAGAAATAATAATAAAATTCGGTAACGCACAAATTAAAGCAGATAATGGTTGAATGTTTGCGGATTAAGTGGATTCTGGGACAGTCGTTGACTTTGATTTTTTTTTTTTTTGGTTCTATTGATTTTTTGAGTAGTATTGAGATGAAAGACTTGATCTTGAAGATGTGACGGAACAGGTTATATAACTTAGACTGATTGTCGCAATAAGATCAAGGATTTATCGGCTGGGATTACCTTCTGTGTTGCTATAGGCTGGTTTTAATGGTGCTCGGGTTCAATTCCCATCGAATTTGATTAGTTCTCCCTCAACTCTCAATTAAAGCTTTTTAAAACAGCAAGAAATATCAAAATCATCCCATCCATTCCTAACCCAACCTCCCTTCAAACGATCAGTCCATAAATTACACCCAGCAATAAACGATCCATTCCATTCTAACGTAAAGCATAAATCAAGTAATAATTTTTTAATCAACCTGCAATTCACACCAAGTAGATCATCATACAAACTACAACAAATTCTTAACGTCTGTGTATTACATTGCAGACTTTCGTGTTCGTCTACATCCTCATGTGAGCGTTCATTCCTTTATATTTATTGATATTGCTGAGCGATAAATTTCACAGAAAAAAAAGCTCAATTTTTTCATGATTGTCGGCATTTCTTTTTCGCACATTTTAAAAGGAAGCGCAGGATTATTGGAGTAAGATGTGTGAACTTATGGACATTTAGACTCAGAAGTGGAAAAAGCTATTAAAACTGATTATTTGACTAAGTTTTACGACTAGGTTTGTCTAGACCAGTGTTGTCCGAACTTTTTGAGAAACAGCACACCTTAGGGGTAAGTCAAGACCAAAGCCACATACAACATGCGGCTCACGTCAGGCGCGTAGCCAGGTGGTAAATTTGGGGGACAAATTACCCTTCGCCTAAAGAAATTTTTTCATTTTGCTAGAGTTTTTATGAAAAACTCGAAAAAATACCCCCCCCCCCAAAGTTTTCCCTACAAAAAAATTTTGTCCCCCCTCTTCAAATTTCTGGCTACGCCCCTGGCTCACGTCAATCCAATAAAATTCTATAGCACATTAGAGTGCCGTGGCACACAGTTTGGACAACACTGGTCTAGACTAAGTTTACATGAAGAAAGATGGTCTATAACTAGACTATGCTTTATGTAGGAACTATCTGAGCTAGGTGCTGTAGTAAGCGACTGTATTTGTTAATGCACAGCTCTCTGGTAGACTTAAAGCTATACTTTTAGCTGAAAAATTATGATAACCTTCAAAAATTTATAAAATTTGCCGCTAAAATGCTTCGATTTCTTGAAATTAAATACCAAATATGCACCTTATGTCCTTCATGCCCTAATTCTTTTTTTTTACAATTTTTCTTCATTTTACTCATTCTCGCTCACTTTATTACTTCTGACATAAACACATATAGCAATTTATTAACGATTTATGTTTTTCTTTCCATTCTCATTGCAGGTTATGACTCAATTTAGACTCCGTCGCTGAACTACCCCAAGAGAATCATAAGTCAGTGAAATAAAACAACGAATAATAAGTTACATAATTGTGTGTATATGTTCATAAATTAAGAATAATAATAATAATCATAGTGAACATAAAAGTGCTTAAAAATAGTGTTGTTCAGAAATAATAAAAAAAATAGTGCATAATTTTCAGTTTAAGACAATGTATAACCTCGGTGCCGCTGTAAAAATGCGGCAATCGAGTGAAGGATTATCGCGTAAATCATCGCATCATGCGATCATAGTCAGTGCATTAGGTTTATTCTTTGTGCTTCTAATCAGTAATTTTAATCAATGTTTAGCATACAATAATGTTCATAATAAAAATTCATCGCATCATCACCATCATTATCATCGTGAGAAGGCATTCGATGGTACAGCAAATAATGTATTATCATTAGTATTGCCACATGACACATATCCTGGTTATAGTATTAAGAAATTTACGGCAAATTTTACATCGCCTGACTCCCCATACTCATCTCTCACGTCATATGCATCAAAGCCGATTAATTATAGGCTTTTAGAGACGGGATTCTCAAAATTCTTTACCGTCTTAGAAGATGGCATGGTGATGACAACTGCTGACCTAACACCTCTAGTCAATCGTCCCGTACATCTTGTAGTGTTAGAGGAGACGCCATTATCGACAACGACACACCATTTACAGTTACATGTTATGGATCGTAAGGATATGTTACGTTTTCCAGGTTCATTACTAGAAGCTGTTGGTGATGTCCGAGAGAATTTAAAGCGTGGCACAAAGATCAAGAATGTCCCGTTACTTCAAGCCAATTCAGTAAAGCCTTCAAAGGAAATTATCTATAAAATTGTCAGCGGTAATGAGAATCGAGCATTTGCTTTACAAAACAGCAAGACAAATGAGATAAATGATGAGATTAAAATTAAGGATACAAAGAGTGCTGGCGTCTGGCTTGTAACAGCAAAGCCATTGGACCGTGAAACGAAGAGCGATTATAATTTGGTAATTGAAGGCAGTGATGATGAAAACATTAATAAAGTTGATGCTAAAGTCACCATACACATACTTGATGACAACGATAATCGGCCTGAATTTGTTGAATCACATTATCGATTTGTTGTTGCTGGCAAGAAATCCATTGATGCTGATGGTAATGCGACAGTCACGTATGAGAGATTTACGAAAATTGGAAAAGTTCAGGCAAAAGACGCTGATGGTGATAAAGTTGCATATAAATTGACAGCACCCAGCAACTATGTCATTATTGTACCGCAAACGGGTGAATTGATGCTCGCTGGTGAACCTGATAAGCATGAACTGTTATTGGAAGTTGAAGCACATGATTTACGTACGCCAAGTTTAACGAGCGCTCATCCAGCAAAAGTCTTAATTGAATTTGCGCCACCTGACGCGGCTGCCATAAATATACAGCATGTACAAGCACATGATAAGCAGCACGGTCATCATCGTGAGAAACGTCGTGTAACGCGCGCTGTACGACCTACGAAACGTATTGAATTTGCTGAATCGGACGGTGATACAGAAGGTCGAAGTGTTTTTCAATTAGAAAAGGAAACAGAACGCGAAACTTTTAAAATAAGGGACGAAAATCCTTGGGTTACGGTTGAAACAAATGGCGCTGTACGTGTTAAAAAGAAGTGGGACTATGAGGAGCTTGGACCTGAAAAGACTATTGATTTTTGGGTGATAATCACGAATCAAGGACATAACGGTGAGTCAAGTTTTTATTTTGTATTTTTTATGGGGAAATGGATTCTTGAATTGAAGGTTGACGTGAATTTTACATGACGTCTCATTTACAGAAGATTAATCTTTGTTTTTGTGTACGGATTGTCTCATTTTGAATTGAATGGGATTATTTAATGGAAATTAACGATCCATGAAATTGTATTGACATTAATACAACTGGATGTTACAGTTTAAAGGTTCTGCCTTATATGAAACTCAAAATGAAGTCTAATTTACTCGAAAAATCTAGTTTCATAAACATTCAGTAACATCCAAACAGCCTTTAACAATGAAACCTCACAAAACAGTAGTTACAGACCAAAACAAGAGCAATAATATTCAATTTCAAAGCTTAAATAGAATAAAACATTCATGAGTTTCGAATTTGCCTTTTTATCTTTAACATATGAACTGAAATCAATATATCAAGCTTATCAGAAATGCATAACAACTAGAAAATAATGGGAATAAACTTTACATATGAATTGATGTTTAATAAACTAGAATATAGTTGAATGTTTACGTGTTAAAAGTTATGGAAATGTTTTATCTTGTGTGGATGAGGTATAGAATGCTATAGACAGTAAGTTTGTAGTATTTTGGATGTAAATTTTTAAATATTTCATGATAAAGATTGCTATAGTGTGGAATTTTGGCGGGAAAATTCTAAATTTAACTTTTTAGCTCTAGTAGCGTCACTAAAGTTTTCTAGAGGCATCTAATCCTAGATTATTCGCTTCAGTAGTTTTTTTCGAATCGCCAAGACACCACATCATCTCTTTTTTTACAATTTATCTCCTTTAAAAATTAAAATTCAGCTCCCGACAATAAGTTCCAATTTTTTTCTGTGAATATAAAAATTCTCTGCTAATATCAGCAAATTTACAATTCCAGAATCAACAATGGCAAGATATCCTTAATAAATTAGCATTTTCATAAAGAAAAACCAGAAACTAGGTTAATTGATAATTGAAATATTTATAAGCTAATTCCATTCTCAATTTTACTTGCAAACTACGACATATTCTTCATCATCCTTCATTCACTTCTCTTATGATTATTCTCATTATCTTTTGTGCTTCTTACTTTTCTTGAGGGGTTTGTAGGTTAGTGAATGTGAATTGGAACTGATTCTTCCTTAATTGGGCTTTTTCGACAGCTCTTCACAGATCATCAATAAACAAATTCAACTATCGAATTTCTAAACTGTCCAAAAAACTCTTGACATAACTTCCGAACAGCCCCATTCAACGGTCTAAGTCTCAGAACATAAATTTCCATAATTCCATAATTAATTTGTCCGCCAATGAATATTAAAAGAAGAATAAGGAGGGGATTTGTTTACCATTTATTAACTACTAGATAGAATATTTTTTTATACATGCATAACCTGCCACTGACTGGCAAATTTATTGCGCGAACGATTTACAATTTCTTACAGACCTGCTAGATATCTCTTAAATGCTGAAAGTCTATTAAAATAATTTATGTCAAATTTTTTCCACGATTGGATTATTCAAATTTTATTTTATGCTTTTTTTTGCTATCTAAATTCCTTTTGAGCTCATTTCTTCTTATCATATTCTAATCTTTTTAATATTTTACATTTCATATATTTTCTTTATGTCTAAGGCATGAATGAATGAGTGGTAAAAGTGTTTTAATGTAAAAAAAATGAGTTAAATTTTATTTTATTGGATTAATGTAACAGGGTTAAGGATGGGTAGCTTTAGTATATTTGTGAGATTTGAAGCCTCAAATGTTTTTCATTTTTAAATGATTAATCTGAACAATCTGATTAGTTTAGATCATCAATATTGATCAAATCTCTTGGTTATAAAGCTATTCAGGCTTATTACATGTTCCTGGCACTTAGAATGATGAATTAGATTCAAATCCTAGGAATAAAGTCCTCTAAACACTAGCGACAATGCTGCCCAGCTGCATACAATTCATAAAACTTCTCATTAGAAGCTTAAGTCAACCAAAAACCACACATTTGTAGCAATCACAAAGTGGAGCGTGCAATCCTTCATTTCACACATTAAATTTAATCTTCTTTTATCATTTCCTCTTTTTAAGCATTAGACACGCGGTGTTGAAAGATCGTGTGACATGAAATTTATTTTCTGCTCTCATCAAGCGGCTTAAGCTGGCTTAAAACAATCAAATATGCCAATATTTTGATAAACTTTATTGCTCAACTCTTCTTCTTATTTAAATTACATTCTTCCAGATATTTATGCTGGATATTTTAATGAAAAGAATTTTGCAAATTAAATATCGTAGATTGTGAAATATGATATGTTTATTTTTGTTATTTTGTTATTTCGGTTGCTGATAATCTTTCTCATTTAACCGCTGTGAATTTTTTAGTCACGACAACTTAAAATCTTGATAAACATTTTTGAGATGTCACTTTTCATTAAAAAACTTTGTAAAATATGTTTTGAGGATTTTTAAATTCTTTTTGGGGTCATCAACTAATTACTTCCAATTTAAAATCTTTTCTTACCATTTTTGAAGTTTTAAAAATTTAGAAAAATCCGAAAAATCATGAATTTCACTCACAAAACTCATTGGAAACATTTTAAAACCACAAATTCTTTCAAATAACACAAATAACTTTAAAAACCTTAAATGGAAAATTTTGTTTACTTTTCTTTGCTGATTCTCTTCAAAAGCATTTCCGTTCTTTCTTTAATCTTAATTTATTCAAGAAATTTGATTTACCGCCTACGGAGATAACACAAATCGGGATATGTGGAGCATAAAAGCTTCAAAAGAGCTGCAAAGTTTTTTCAAACATGAAATGACGAAAATTGCGAGAAATGAAAACAATTTGAATCCTTTTTTATGCTCGGTTTCATGATTATGAGTTTAGGATTTTTTGAAAGGTTTTATTCAAATTTTCTGAATTTTGATTTATGAATTTAAAGAGAATTTGAGAAAATCTTTAAGATTTCTGAAATTTATTAGTATTCCAAACTTACAAAAGATAGATTTTATTAACTAAAGTAAGTAAGTTTCGCTAGCAAAATTCTCTTAATCTTCAACTTAATTTAAACTCAACCCAACAAAACTCACAATAATACAGCAAAATTCCCATTTTACTAAATTTCAACCATCTTACTGTTCATGATGTTTATCTTTAGCATCCTCACATGATCATGTACACAAAATTTCTTCAAACTATAAGATTTTCTATGATAAACTAGAGACAAAAAGAAATGTTTTTTAAGCAAGGAAAAAGGCACTTATGAATAATAATAAAAATAATGCTAAAAAACACTAGCATCCTCTCATAATGTTCTTATATGCTGGAAATGAATGAGTAATATCAAGCAGCGCATATATTATTATTGTCATTATTATGTTTTCATCATAATGGAAAGATTTCATACTTCATACAGAGACTCGCTTGAGCATTAAATGCTTCTTCTTTTGTCATTTCTGCATTCAGTAGACACTCAAGTAGCGTCTCATAAGGGAAAATGAATGAGAATATGTTCTACATGAAGATGCTTTTTACTTCAATGATGTGGGAAAGGATTGGAAGTTGTGGATGAAATTTTGTGACTCAAATTAATCAAAATGTTAGTTCTGACGTGATATGTCAATTTTAGCTTCAACTAGTGTGGTCTAATTTCTTTTGAGAGTGTCGTAAAAAGTCTTTTGTGAATATTTAAAGCTAGTCTAAACCTTGATTATTTTTATTGGCTTAATAAAAATCCTTTCGAGTATTTTATGCTTCATATTATAGCCAATTTTATAACTCTTTCAACACGTCTTCCCACGTAACCATAAGTCGACGAATGGAAGATTTTATGTATTACATCAAAATCTTCCATGTATGTTCCATATGTACATTCCATGTATCGTACATTGGACATTATGCTAATATGAAAAGGGACGATTTTTAGTCGATTTTACGTCGATTTCACGTCGATTATTTTTTTGAACCAAAATCAAATTATTTTTGACCGTTACAATATAAAAACCGATTAACGGAAAAATTTTGAATTTTTTTTACATGAAAATATTTTTTGTTAATTATACTATAATTTATAGACAAAATCCAAAAACATTAATTAAGGATTTTGTCTTTGAAAAAAAGAGTCGAAGTCTTCATTTAAATGAATGATTCGCATGTAATTAATTTAATTAATTAATCACACTTTGTATGAAAATTTGGCTGTGGCTTATATAAGTGATTTCTGATTGCACTTGTGAAGTATATAGCGGCTCAAGAAAAACGAATGTAATGGATGAAAAATCGACGTCTATTGGATCATCCAAAAAATTGTACATTTAAGTCGATTTTTTCATTGACGGCGATTTTGGTTACGTGGGTTGTCTTTGTCTTGCTTTTATTTTCTTAGATTCTTGTTTATGTGCTAGAGGAAGCTGCTCAATTTGAGTCTCTTTCTCTATGAGCTTCTTTTAACGTTGATCAATTGTTGATTCTAAGATTATAAATTTAAAACAATTTTTTTAGATTTTTGAAACTTTAAAGATTCTATAAAAATTTATAACGGTTAAATAAAATTCAAACTTGCTATAAAACTTAATAACGGATAAATAAAATTTGAATTTCACAAATTTTTCTCCCTGAAATTCAAAATATCAAAAATCGTTAAATGTTTTGACACATTCTTTTGATTTTAAGTCACTTAAAATCCACAACCACCTTATAATCAATTCCTCAACAGCTCCAAAAGTCTTCAAAAATATTCTAAAATCATCACAACAATTTCCATTAGTCATCATACAGATAAAAATGCTATCAAACCCTTTTACTTTGTAAGAGAAAAAACATTTGTCGAAGTTTTTTTATAAGCCTTAATGTGTGAAATATCCTGTTAATATGAAAAGAATGAAGTATAAAAGTCAATACAATAAGTGTTCAGGTTGTAAAAGTTTTTATTAAGGTGTTTAATGTGAAGTAATAAAAAGAGTTTAACTCAATGTTGCATTTTGGAGGTGCTGTATTTAATGCTTTTAAGATGTTAAATGTTACTTAAGGGCAAATCCGCGGACAATAAAAAGCTCCAAATTTTTGTTTTTCTCAAATTTCTCTTCTATTTGGCTATTTAAGTGATATTTTAATACCAAAACATGCGTATTTCCGACAAATGTACAACTTTCGATAACTTTGGCATGAAATAAATCATTAATTAAAGAGATATTTTGATTTTTCTGGCGTCAATCTCTCCTGCAATCGAAATTTATTTTCAAAAAAAAAACCAAAAATTTTCTTAATTATAAATCTAGACAGCACCAGACTTGTTTTATAGCATTTCAAATTTAATTTTCTATCACATTCTTTTATCAGGTGTTACAAAAAGTCACTTAATTAAGAGAAATTAAAGAAAAAAGCGTCAATCTCTCCTGCAAGAACACTTTGTTGCAAAACATCAGTTTAGAGTATTTTTTCGTAACACACGATAAATTTTGAAAAGTTATAAAACGTTAAGATCATAATCAATTGAAATATCTAAATTATGCAGTGACTTACAGCTTGAATAAAGCTTTATTAACGAGAACACACTAATTAATTGCTTAATTAATTAAAAAAGTAGAGTTGATAAAAAATGTTTATTTTTGTTCAAAAATTGTAACGAGTTTTTATTTTTCAAATTTTTCCAAGTAGAGAAATATTACAACTCGCTTTTTGCCAGTTTCATAATTTTGCGGATTTGCCCTTAACGGATATTTTTGATTTGAATTTTGCATAAGGAAACTTTTAACGGAAATTTTCAAATTCAAATTTTTATATTATCACGTTTTGGCGCAAAAATCTGAAAGAATTTTAGTGTAAATAACAAAAAAATTAATTTTACTAGTTTATTGTGCATTTAATTAACTTACAATCATGGGATTCGATAAAGAACAGGTAAAAGAGCAGATAGAAAATCATATAAAGTTGCAAATCTCATGCATAATTGCTTTTTAAGGACATGAAGGAAAATTTGAAACGAAAGTTGTGCTACGTTTGCAGAAAGATGTCTTTTCTACGATGCACTCACTGCAATAGAGTTTATTGTGGCAGTGAATGCCAAATGAAGGTACAATTTGGCTTCTTTTATTCCAAAAAAACATCATTTTATGATAAATTTTTTTTCCAAAACATCCAGGACTGGAAAAATCATCAATCAGGTCTTGGAAGTCTTAATCCAAAGGCCGAAAAGAAATTTCTTGATACTCCTTCAGTTTCTAAATTAAGCGTTCAAGATCGTATCAAAAAAGCACAGTTTGGAAAGTCACCATATGTCGATGATTAAAGATCCAGCATAATTTCATTATTAGCAATTTTATAAATAGTTTTAGCCCATAAAAATGGCAATAAATTCTTGGCATATCTATTGAATGAAACAAAACAGCCATAAAGTCCATATGTTGAATTTTAAGATTTCTTTGAACTGATTTTTAAAGCTACGACTGCACAAAATTTATATTTCTGCATAAATTACAATATTTATCTCTTTTTGCAAGGCGCACTGTGCCATATGCTTCATTTTATTGCTTTCTTCCTGTATCTTGTTCTGGTCTGGATGTAAAAATACTTTTTTTAATGGTTGAAGGACGTTGAGGGAGAAGATAAATAAGGCAATAAGTATGATAATGGCAATGTCAAGAGGAATATGAAACTGTTGGGAATTTATGGGATGTTCGCGGACTAGATATTGAAAATTACGTTAATTTTATTTTATAGCAAAAAGTCCGTTATTTTTGAAAATTTGCTATTAACATTTAAATTTTAAAAGTCCGTTAAAAATTATTCCAATTTCAAAACTCAATTATTCAACCAATAACTCAATTTAACATCCAAATATCATTTTCTAATCCCCAACTAAGCTCTAAGCTCATTTCAAGCGATATTTTAATTAATTCTCTCATAATCTGATTGAGAAATTTAGTTATGATTTAAATATTTTAATATTTCTACCAGTTCCCATCCTCACATGCGTCTAATCTCCTATTAAAAAAGATTTATTGAATATATTGTGTGTATTCAATCATTTTAAATAGAAAATATACTGACTATGATTCGACATAAATGTGATTTATTGATCACCAAAATCGACTTAATTATCTAATTTCTTCTCTATTGAAGGATTACATAAAGTGATTTTTGTGAATCTACACGTGTGTGGTTCTTTTGAATCAACTTGGACATTGTTGAGTTAAATTGTGAAAGTTTAATTCAGATGATGATTGATTGGTGGAATTAGGCGCAGATGTTTTCTTTCATTGGCTTAGCTGGAACCTGACGATTAAAATTTGAAATTTAACGTATTTTTGGAATTTAAAATTTCAAAGTTGCTATAAAAATTCAAAATAACCAAAACCGTTAAATTTGCTATAAAATTTAAATCTTCAAAAACCGTTAAATCACAAATTTCTTAGAATCACTTTAAATGACCCAAAACGTCCACAATGCATCAAAATCCCAAGTTATCATTACAACAGAACAGCATAAAAGCCAAAGCAAGAAGAAAACATAAAATTTGATGGAAAGCAGTAAAATGATTCATCACTTTGTGAGTTATTGCTTATTTCTATCATGTACATAAGATACATACAGACATGTTCCTTTCTGTCTGCTTCATTTCATCTCTATTATTCTCCATTCTACCTATTTTTTATGATGATGCTCTATGTGAGTACCTTAAACGTGGTCTGCGCATGAATAACATCCAAAAAGCAAATTCCATAGAAAAGTTTCTACTTATCTACAAATGAAAATAATGCAAGATATTCTTCGTTTGAGTCATTTTTATAAAGAGAATGAATTTTAATCTGCCTTTTGATGTTTGTCTATGCTGTATGCTATATAAAAAATGAAATTACAAATTGTTGATGATTCATTGAAGACTTTCCGAGTCACGAAATGAGCTTAAAAAATTGAAATTCAAAATGATGAATTTGTTTATGAAACTTTTGGATCATAAAAGTGAGTCAAGATCACTAAAAGGGAATTAAAACGATATCAAAATAGACAATTAAAGGAGAAAATGGAATTGAGATGAGTCAACAAAGAGTTATTGTTGGTATTGGATATGAATTTTGGAAAGTTATTGATTTTTGGCGCCTTTTAAGTTTAGTTTTGGGAAGAAAATGTCTGTTGAATATTACTATTAAGTGCTTAGGATCTGTTGTATAGTTCATAAGGCTTTTGATATGCTCTAAGTGAGATCAGAGCAACTTCTGAGCTTGATTTAGTCTTTTTTAACTATCCAGAATGAGCTACAATATTAAGATTGTGTTCAAATGTTGCAACAAGGTTAAAGTTATTATCTAAAGCGATCTTACACTAGCTAAAGACTCATTTAAGACCTTGCTAACTTTTGATACTTAAACTTTCCATTTATCACTGCCATTTCCTGAGATTTTTGATTTTTGGCGCCAAAATAAAACCCAGACAAAATGGCTGTCATAACGTTCATTTGTAATTTAAATTGTATTTGTTTGTAACATAGTTGTTTGCCCCTTTTCATATAAATATCCAGTCTGCTTAAGAACTCTGAAGAATAAAGACGTTTTATTACAATAAAACCGTTTGGTATGATTTAATTAAACTACAATTACAAAAATGGCGACACCAAAAAATTTCCAATTGAAACTAAAAAGCCCAAAAATAAGTCTTAACAAAAATTTAATTCCATCCAAAAACATAAACAACAGCAAAAAGTTTGCCTCAGGGTTTGCCTGAACTTGAAGACAATCACACGTGTTAATTTAGTAGCCGAGAACGATCTTTTATTAAGATAATAGGATTATATTTTATTGCTGTGCCATAAATGACCGAAAAGAAATCCTCTTCTGCATGCCGTTCATAGAATTCCATCACACAATATTACATCCCATCCATCAAAAAATTGTGTGATAGAAAATAAATTTTCATGCGAAAAAAAAAGGAAGAAGAACCACAAAAACCGCATAAAAAGGGGACACAATAATAATAATTTCACTGCATAAATCTCATTTTCACACATTTCGGAATTTCATATGACACATGGGCAGACCATACCACTATGACGATATGATGGCAGTTTATGTGATCGGACGATAACGATAATCATAAATATCCATTAGACATATATCTATTCCCCCTTTTTACAGTCTAAACACATCCAGGCACCATGTGTATAAATAGTCAATGCTATTTTACACTCGTTAAATGAATTTGAATCTAATTAACTGGAAACTTTATATGTGAGTGCGTGCTGATGCAGTTGAATAATTTAATTGTTATTTTTCTCACTTAACACATAAAAAGGGGTTCATTGGCTTGAGGATGGCGATTGACATGGACATGGACTTTAAACGAATAATTATTATTCTCTTCCTGTCGTGGCTTTACATACTTTATTTTGGGTAAGCTGCATACCCAATCAATAGTCATCGAGACGTGAGTTGAAGTTCAATAATTATCAGTTAAATGACTTCAGTTATGTTGGCTGATGGACAGCATTGAATATTACAGAAATGATAAATGACATTTCTAGCCAACGAATAACTTTTTTTTATGTTTTATGAAGGCTTTCATGTTGCGGGGGCTTGTAATGAAATGTCTGACGAAGATTCATGTCAATGATATAGAGTTGAATTTTGCTGACGTAATGGCTTGTTATAAATAGATCTTCTCATTCCATTTTGTGATGATTTGTTGACTTTGATTCAAATTGTTTACCTAGAAATCAGTGAAATGCGATTAATTTAGTTTTGGATGTTGGAATGTAGAAAAAGTTGAAAGGATTTGAGCTTGAGGTTATTTAGTGGTTGCTTTAAGGCATCTTGTACTTAATGGTAATATAAGATTGAAGAATAAACTATTAATAATGTGTATAAAGCTTAATCTTATTGAATTTGAGGCACATGATCCATTTAGTATAGAATATATTGAAGCTTAGGAAGTGGATTAGAGTTTACAGTAGAATCTTATCCACTTGAGAGCTTATCAATACTTCATCCATTATAAAATGCTCTTAGTCACTATTCTTGTAAGCATAGAACAGTTGAGGTTTTGCAGATCCTTGTAAGCCTCCCAAAGTAGCGACATTCTGTCTCAAAGACTTCAAAACTACATCCAGTAAAGAAACTAAGCTACAAGAATTAAGAATCAGCGAGTTTCTAATCAGAAATGATCTTAGGTTTGATCCATGACCTTTGGCATCATTTCTAATCTTTAAAATTGATGGATATAAGATTAAAGCTGCATTTGATTAAGGACCAGTGTACTTACTCAGATGCAGCCATAATCTAATTTTCAATCAATTTTAAAGAACTCAACTTTTTATTAAAATTAAAAATTAATTAAAAATTAACCTCAAATTGTCAAGCTTCCTTCAAACTTAACCTACAACAACTTCATATCACATCAAATCCATCAATAACATTGAACCTCAATAATAATTACGTCACAAACTATATAGAAATTTTTAAGCTCTCTACGGAACTGAATCGTTAAATCAATGGCAATAAATTTACTATTTTTCATAACCTCAATTTTATTTTTTTTTCAAACTTTGTCGTTCGCCACGTTATCAGATCTTTAGTAAAAAGCTGTACAGCACTCGCATCAATTTAAAGTTTTCGAAGAATGGGCGGAAAAAAAAACTTAAATTTTTTTTATGCAGCATAAAAGTTATAATTGCCAGCACTTCGATAATTGCAGAAGTTTTTCGTGCCTTTAGGTGAAAATTGAAAGGTTTATTGTTCAAATTTATCGACTACGGCTGTCTTTGATATTGTCATGCAATTAGCAACAACTAAAGTTCTTTCTGTGATTGAAGATAATTGAAGGAAGTTTGTATCTTTAAGGGGTCGTTCACTTATGACGTCCCAAATTAACGGTCATTTTTCAAAAAAGAACAATGGATTTCCAGGAATTTCTATTGTTCTTTTCTTGCTGAGGGGGGATGGGGCTGGACGTCGTAAGTGAACAGTCCCTAAGATGTTGTAGATTAGTTTGGACTTAAGGTTGTTGGGATTGAGATGAATGTTGATTTGTAGAGTTCAAGAGAATATTGGGGTTGATTTTGAGTCAATTGTAGTTCCTGCGTTGCTATCTTCATGAGTTATAATATATCTATATCAGTGGTGGCTAACCTGTGTGCCGCGGCACACGAAAAAATTAAGGAAATCCCACAAACCGTATGCCATGTTCATTTTCGGTTATCGCTTACTATCACGGTGTGCCGTGGCACAAAAAAGGTTGGTCACCACTGATCTATAGAATATTAAAGCCTTTAACAGAGTCTTGTCAATGCCAGCTCCTTGTTTCTAACAGAATCAGAACTGTTGCTTGACTAGAATGCAGATAGAAAAATTGTAGAGTTTGCCTTGGATACAGTTTGTTTGAAACTGACTAATCCTTCAAAATCCCGTTT